CTCCCCGAAAGCCTCTGGTGCCCAGGCGACACCCAGGGCGAGGCAGGACCCAGCCCAGGCCCAGCCCCACTCTTCGGTCCCCGCGCGCCCAGGCCTGCATCACAGAGTCCTTGTGCCCCCACCTGAGGAGTGGGGCTGTTGTCAGGGTGAACCTCGAGGGCCCTGAATTCACACACACACACACACACACACACACACACACACACACACACACACACAGAAAAGGCTGTGGTCGGTGAACCTCGAGGGCCCTGAATTCACACACACACACACACACACACACACACACACACACACACACACACACAGGGCTCCTCTTCCCCTGGGCCCTTCAGAAAGTGCTGGTTGTTTCAGCCGCTCACTGTCCCTGCCCTCCGGGTGCTCACTTGCTGGCCCTCTGGGGCAGTGGGGATTGGGCTCTACCCCCCGAGGGCCAGTTATGGGCCCAGGCGCGGCAAAGCCAGTCACAGACTGCCCTGCACGCTCACACCCTGCCCACACACGCACAACCAGCCTGGCCCAGCGTGCCGGGCTTGGGCTGGGGATGTAGCCCCGCAGCGCCGCTCCTGCCTGGCCAGTGCGAGGCCCTGTGGTCAATTCCGGTACCAAAGAAACAAAAACCAACAACAAAGTGCTGGGCTCAGGGCAGGCAGGCAAGTGGCTCAAGCTGAGGACAGCTAGGCTTGGTGCCGCACACCCGGAATGCCAGCACTGTGAGGGCTGCCAGAAGGGTGGAAACTTCAAGCCGTACCAGTCAATTTAGTGAGATGCTGTCTCAAAATAAAAATGCAAGAGGGCCAGGGATCTAGCTTGGTGGTTCCACTGCCTGCCTCGAAAGTGCAAGGGCCCAAGTTCAATCCCCGTAAAACACACACACACACACACGCACACACACACACACACACACACACACACACACACACACATATATATATATAAAATGTCTTCTAACTTGGTGTCTTCAGCCTTGGGGGGGTGAGAGAAGTAAGGTAAATTTAGGGCTAACCAGCCTGCTTTCAGACAGACACTCCTTAAGCGATTAACATGTTTGTGTGCAGAGCTGAGTGGGAATCTGTCTCAAAGTTTGAGGTAGCTGCAGGCCCATGTGAAGAGTCAGTGTTTTGAGCAACATCAGCCCTTAAGTCCCCATTATACTTTGGCTCACTTTAGTTGGACCATATTCAGGAACACATTTTTGGAAAAAAAAGCTCATCTTTTAAAAAAAGCAGATCAGAAGGGGGAATGCACAACTTCGATCCCAGCACTCAGGAGGCCGAGGCAAGAGGGTCACCGGGAGTTCAAGGCCTGCCTGGAATACATAGTGAGACCCTGTTTCCAAAAAATGAGCAAACAAACAAACAGAAATAAATAAATAAAGGCTCTTTTTTTATTATTTTGAGACAAGGTCTCCTAAATTTCCCAGGATAGACTAGAATTTGTGATCCTCCTGCCTCAGCCTCCCAGAGTGCTGGGATTACAGGCATGCAAGAGCACAACCAGAGCCAGTGGTCCTTAACCACTTTCCGAGGTGGTTCTGGAGGACTTCTTTGTATGTCTGTACAGGTGTGACAAAAAACACAGTAAATGCTGGTGCCAAGTGCCATCCCGTGGGAAGGCAGCTCATGAACCCCTCGCAGTGCGCCTGGGCAGGGGCAGCACCTAAACCCCAGCAGTACAATTACAAACGGTGGAGCTGAGCGAGTTGCTCCCTTCCTGTCACTTAATTGTGACAGAACCCTACAGCTTCTAGGAGGATGGGGAAGAACCATTTCACAAGTAAGGTCTGACTGTAGCTGTCTAGGGTCCAGTGCCACCTTCATGCACGCAAGCTGGAGATGGCACGCGGAAACAACTCCGTTGCGCCTCTGGTCACAGCCGAGTCCTCAGTGGTCCTCAGGGCAAGAGTACGTCAGCTGTCGCCGAATAGGTAACACCCCCCATGTTTGTTTTTTTAGCAAAATTAGTGTAACAGCCATGTTTAATCCATGATTTAGATTCCAGTTAGTGTGGAAAGTGAACTTTGGAACTGAATCAGAGGTGGCAATAGAAAAAGTTCTCACATTACCTCACAGATGTTGCTTCTCATTTCAATTTTTAGAGTTTAGAAATGAAATTACAGGAGACCAAAGGAGCTTCGGGCCTGGGGAACAGCACCCACATTCCTGGGCTGGACGCACCTGAGATCAGACAGACCTTCCCAGCGGCCACAGCTGCCCCTGTACACTGCTGAGACTTTTCTACTTTCTACTGCTCAAAGACCCAGGATGTCTTCAGCTGATGTAATTTCGCCTGGAGCATCACAGCATGACGGCGTCATGAGGCCACTGAGGTCTCAGCTGTGACTGGAGGCGAGACTGCACTTCTGTTTGGGCCTGTCATAGCCGGCAAGAAGACTAGGCCTGATCATAATTTAATTGTGAAATGATTTTACCCCAAAATGATGTGGAATCGCTCCTGACCTCAGTGGATCAATCGCTAACAGACTAAAGGTTGTTAAGAAGCCAAAGTAGACTGCAGGTGTTACCTGCTTGGCGTAGAAGAATGAGCTGGAACACAATGTAGCACACCTCTGTCAATCTTTACACACAAAAAAGAAGTCAAAAAGTAAGAGTTCTTCGGAGTTCATATAGAAAATCTGTTTCTTCATGACCAAAGATACTTCAGGTGCAAGGCAACCCCCAGGCCCTGCCACTCAGGCAGGGACCTCGGCCGTGTCTCACCGCTGATGTAGTCAACTGGTGTGGTACAGGAGCGTCCTCCAGTTCCAGAAGCACAGGCACAGGCATCTCCCCGAAAAGATGCAGTCCATTTGTGGCAAATACTGAATTTTGCTTCATTTTCCACATACAGAAAGGGAACATTGTTTTCTATGTCAGAGCCCCATGATCAGGAGGATTTGAAACCTTTTCAAAAGAAAATGACTGTCCAGGGGTGGTGGCACCCGCATATAGGCCTAGCCCTCGGGAGGCTGAGGTGGCAGAATCACCATGAGTTCAAGGCCAGTCTGAACGATACAGAGAGACCCTGTCTGAACCCCCACACCCTGGACATCAGAAAGTGGCCATATTTTAAAAACTGATCTATAGATTTAATGCGATCCCAATTAAAATACCAACAGTATTCTTCATAACAGTAGAAAAAACAATCCTAAGATTTATATAGAACCAGAAGGGACCCAGAATAGCAAAAGCAATCCTGGGCAACGAAAGCCAGAGGTATCACAATCCTGGATTTTATATAACACCAAGCTATAGTGATAAAAACAGCATAGTACAGCACTGGAACAAAATCAGATATGCGGATCAGTAGAACAGCACAGAAGATAAAGAAACAACCCCAGATGCATTAAGCCATCTGAACTTTGACAAAGGAATGGAAGACGTACAGTGGAGGAAAGATAGCCTCTTTAACAAGTGGTGTTGGAAAAGCTAGTTACGCACATGCAGAAGTTTGAATGTAGATTGAATCCATATCTATCACTGGGCATAAATTAAAATCAAGCTGGATCAAACACGTAGATACTAATCTGCTGGAATCTGCTTGAAGATAAAATAGGCAAAACTCTCATATAGGCGCAAGAAAAGATTTTCTAAATCGAACCCTAGATTGTACAATAAATAGCATCAAGTATCAACAAATGGGATCATATCAGGTTAAGCTTCTATACAGCAGAAGAGACAACCTATAGAATTAGAAGAAAATTTTGTCAGCTACACCTTGGACAGAAGATAATATCAAGAATTCAAAAAAGACCCCTCCAATCTGGGCGTGGTGTCTCATGCCTTTAATCCCAGCACTAGGGAGGCTGAGGCAGGAGGATCACTGTGAGTTCCAGACCAGCCTGGGCTACATAGTGAGTTCCAGGTCAGTCTCAACTACATAGTGAGACCCTGTCTCCAAAAAAAAAAAAGACCTCTCCAATGAAAGACTGGAGATCAATGGGCTGGAGATCTAGCTCAGTGGTTCCGGAGCCTCCGAGTTCGATCCCCAGTACCAAAAAAAAAAAAAGCCAATAAATGTGTGAAAAAATGCCTAAAATCTCTGGCCATCAGAGAAATGCAAATTAAAACAACACTGAGCCAGGAATGGGAGGCTGAGACAGGAAGATCACCACAATTTTGAGGCCAGCTTGAACTGCACAGCAAGACCTTGTCTTTATAAATGAAAATAACAACATTAAAGTACCATCTTGTTTCAGGAAAAAAAATGGCTATCATCAAAAATAAAATTGATAGATACTGGCAAGGCTGTGGGGAAAATGACACTCTTCTACCCTGGGGATTCCTCAAAAACCTCAAACTAGAAATTGCATTTGATTCAGCTGTTTCTTTATTGGTATTGAGAGAGTAAAGACGTCATGCCACAAGTGATGCATGCAAACCTGTGTTCCTAGCAGCACACCTCATAATAACTAGAACTTATAAGTGGCCTATATGTCCATCAGCAAGATTGATCAGGAAAATGTATCTATGGAGCCGGATGTGGTGGCTCACGCCTGTAATCCCAGCACTTGGGAGGCTGAGGCAGGAGGATCACTGTGAGTTCAGACCAGCTTGGGCTACATAGTGACTTCCAGGTCAGTCTCAACTACATAGTGAGACCCTGTCTCAAAAAAACAAAAACAAAAACAAAAAAAAAAAAAAAGATTACATCAAAGAAAGAAAATGTATCTATGCGCATCGAGTATTCTGCTATAAAGAAGGATAAATTTGCATCATTTGTGTGAAAATGGATGCACCTCGATACCATCATGTTAAGTGAAATAGTTCAGACACAAGCTTAAATATCACACAACCCCTCTTATATGAGAATCCAAATATAAAAAAGGTTTAAAAATAATCAATGATAGGAAACAGGAAATGAGATCTTTTGCAGATAGAAAAGGAGAGGGAGAAAGAATGAAAAGAATTAGATTATGTTAAGCACACACATACCCTCTAAGGTTAATATTGACTTTACTGCAAATATGTACTAATAAAAACATTGAAAAAAATTACGGCTTTATCTTAAACTTTAAAATGGCATGTAACTAGAACACTTAGATTTGTTGAAAGTATTTTGACTTTTGTATAAAAGAATCTGTGACAAGGTTAATGCGTCCAGGTGCTCAGCAGAGAAACCCGGACAGAAGGTCATGAGAGTCCTGGAACTGACCTGTCCTCACTGGTTTGGAATCAGCAGGAGTCTGTCCAGATGTCAGGCAGCTCTATGATCTGAGTCTGTAATGTGTAATTCAGAACCTTCATTTTATGTTAGGCTGCTAGGTTTTCTGATAAATATTATCCCCTATCTCGCAGCCGGCCTGTACTTCTTAGTCACTTGAATCCGGAGCTCCCTTTGCAGTCTGAAGAAGGTACTGCAGTCAGGAACGTGTACCGGTGACAAAAGCCTCTGGTAGCAATAAAAAGCTGTCCTTAAGGGGGAAAAAAAAAAGATTACATCAGCTGAAGACATCCTTGTTCTTTGAGAACTGAGTAGTAATTAAAAAAAACAGCTGGGGATTTAGCTCAGTGGTTCTGCCGCCTGCCTTGCAAGCATAAGGGCCCAAGTTCCATCCCCGGAACCAAGAGAGAGAAGCTCCGGCCTGGGGGAAGGCCAGATTCTTTATGAGCCTGCAGTAAGAATGCTCTCCTTGCCACTCGTGATCATGAGATCCTCATCACCACAGGATCACCGCTGCCCCTAAGTCACCCGACGCTCCCTGCGATTGTTGTGTGCACCCAGTAAAGACTGGTGAGCTCAGAGTGTCTTTGCCCGCTCTGAAGCACTGACCCACCAGCGCCCTCCCCGCCCCCTTGGTACCGGGGATTGAACTCAGGTCCTAGCCCTTGCAAGGCAGGCAGCGGAACCCCTGAGCTAAATCCCTGACCGCCCCCGCACTTTGAAACTACGCAAGTCTCTATTGTCTGTCTCCTCTGGCCCTCGAAGTTGCCCTTTCTCGGCAGTTGGGGGATCGATCGCCTCTGACCACGTCCCATGTCCTCAGCTCAGGGACACTGGATCACATCTGCGCTGACAAATGTGACCTCACTCTCTCCACCCCAAATTCCTCAAGGCAGCAACCTCTGGCTCCTCTTCAAAGCCTTTGCTCTCCTCTTCCAGGCTGCTGAATCCTTTCTCCGAATCAGCCCGTTTGCACCCAAGTGGAGTAAACAGCCTTGTTGCTCACACAATGGCTCAAGGATGGTCTCCTTGCTGTGCTTGTAAAATATACTTACACTCAGTCCACATCGCATGGGAACCAGGAAGTTCTACATATGGAGTCCTGGGAATGATTCGCCGATGTCCTGGGATCTTGTAATAGACAGGCCCTGCTCATTTCCCCAGCCAGCTCTGCCATGCCCTACCTCCTATATCAAAAGCACACAGAAAACAGGGGGATGATACCAGGCTTTCAGAGTTTCAGGGCCAGACACATCTGCTGAGGTGCCTCCCATGGGCCTCCAGGTGTGATCGACAGGGTGCTGAGCCACCTCAGGGGCTCTCAGCACACACTCATCCCAGAATTCACTGATCCTAACTGTATTTACGAGATGTGGTGCCTATGTATGAACCTGCAATGAGGTTTGAGTAGGGTCAAGGTCAGGCTAGGAGATCCAACCTGCACGTGCTCCCGCCTAGAGCACCAGCCATCTCCTACGCTTTTGTTCTCTTATTTTCTACCTCCTTTAGGACAGCGGAAGCAGGAATAACTGCAAAGTGCTGTTTTGAGATAAAGGAGGGAGGGGAGTGACTGGCTCAGCTCCATTTCCTGTCACCGTGTTATTGCTCCCCTGAGCCCTGGATCCCAAAAATCTTTGAGGGGTGTTGAAGGGGGAAGTTCTGTCTTCTACAGCTACTTCCAGGAGTGTTGGCCCTACTTACTCAGAGAGCAAGAACTCAAACCCTGGCTGATCTGAATTCAAGGGAGCTGAGCCCTTCCTCCGAGGAAGTTTGGACAAACCATGGGCATGGAGGCAGATTCTGATCTTGACTTAGGGTCATCACCAGTAGTCTGACAGCTGTCAAAAAAGAAGCAGATTTGACTAAGAGATTAAGTACATAGATCTAAATGATACAGAGCACACTAATAAAGGCCATGTCCTGGACCACAACCAAGATTCCCAACGTCAGACCCTTGGCCAGGACATCTGTGACTCAAATAGTTCTTCACGGGTCTTGGAAGCACAGCGAGCCAGTTTTGCACCATGTCTTACTATTTTAGACCTGTTGATGTAGGAACTACATTCTTCTCTTAGGGACAGATGCAGCTCCTTTGTTTTGGCTGTTAGGAGTCGTAGTCCCCTGCAATGTTGTATGGCCGCTGCTGCTATGAGTCTACCTGGTCTTTGAAGGACGCAAGTCTGTCAAGGCTGTCTGTCGAATTCTTAGGTAGCTCTTGAAGACAGGAGAAAGATGCACTTAATTTTACGGTCTCACATAAGTATCACTGTTTATTTTCTCTATTGGAGGGAATTTTTGAATAATCCATGGTGATGCCAAAAGGAACAAAAAAAAACTCAAAAGATGTCACGTCTTAACCTGGAACAGAGATTTTTAAGCGCAGTAAACAAGGTGGTAGTGGACAACTAACACAATTTACTTAGAGGGAGCAAACCATTTTACTTACCTGGTTCAACAGAGTGATTGTTTTTTTGGTTTTGGTTTTTGTTTTTTAAGGAACTTGTGGTCATCCATGGATGCATAGGTGTACAAAGTTCATGGCCCCTGTTCTTTGTCTTCTGGCATCACAGATGGCTTGGGCTTCACCAAGGAGAGATGAATCCTGCTATCTCTTCCCTGTACCTTATGGGCAGAAGGAGTGGTTAATAGGGCTGTGTAAGGAAGGGCCTTTCCATGTGGATGAGAGTCAGTCCTGAGGTCCACCCTCTGTCCAGGTCTGGACCTGGATCTGTCACTAGGCAGACTTGGGCTGACAGCTCTTGTTAGCCCTGGGAATAAAAGAACCTTATGTCCATATTACTGCAGGACCTGTTGGAAAGTTCCCAATGGGTCACATGTTGGGAGGTTTTAGTGTCAGTAAGTAAATAAGATGTCAAAAGTGGCCTCCCACAAAGTATCTCAAATGGGCTGAGATTAAGTTTGGACTTGGGGGCTAATGAAGCCTCATTAAGGCAACTGAAAGAAGATCCAGTCACTATGGTGGGATTCTGACACAACACGGCTAAGGTTTGTTTGAGAATTTGGTTCTCTAACTTTTCCCGATAACTGGGGTCTCCACACAATGTGGAGATGATACTTAATTCCCAGTACTTTGGTGATAGGGTCCAGAGAGGCTTGATGTCTCTAGCAGTGGACAACTGCTACCTCACTCAGGACACTGGCTGCCTCAAGGAGGCTGAGCATCTCTGGTCCATGTTTTATTAGAGACTGGTGATTGGTCTAAAGTCTTCTTTCTCTCCAGATGGCTGCATGTCTATGTGAGACAAGAAAGATGTATTTGGAGTCAATCTATACCTATATTTATATCTATATCTCCATATCTATACCTGACCCTCTTGTCCTGGGCAAGTTAGAGAGCCTGGGTGAGGGCAGCAAGTGTGCCTTTTGGACAGAAGACCCGGGGGGAGCCCTCATGCTTCAGTGACCTGGGTGGGGTTGACTGTGCCATCTGTTATGAAACTGCTGCCCTTGGTAAACCATGTGCCAGATGGCTGTTAATGGACAGTGTCTCGAATTGGGGAGGCTCGCATGATTTGGGTGCTGGTCTGTTCATACTCATGTTCTATCTGTCGGATGGTTAGGAGGAGGGTGGCTGAGTTTAAAACAGTGAAACAGTGTAAAACTGCTTGCAGGCAACTGGGCCATCCCTGTGTTGTTCCATTTAGTCACTTGGGAAAGTAAGCAACTGGTTGGCTTCCTGGCCCAGACACCGAGTTAGCTCTCCAGTGTCTATTCCTGTCTCTCAGCCATGAAGAGAGAAAAAGGCTTAGTTAGATCTGAGATTCCTAATGCATCGAGGTATGTGAGAAGGCTTTAAAAGTCTCTTGAGAACCTGCTGTCCATTTTAAGGGTTCAATTTCTGGTCCTCAAATTGTCTCATGTAGGTATTTAGCTATTACTCCAGACTGAAGAGTAATATGTGGCAGAAAGCTTTCCCAAGAAAGCCCTCAGTTGCTGTTTAGACTCTGGGAGAACCAGACAGTGAATAGTCTCTATTCTCTTTGAGAACAGTTGTCTTTGTCCTGGAGTTAAAACATACCCCAGATATGTCACCGTTTTTGAGGAATCTAGGCCTCATGTTGCGACACTTTATAACCCCTTTTTTCTAGAAAATTGAGTCTTAATAGTGTTTCCATCAGATAATTCCCTACTGGGACTACACATGAGAAGTTCGTCTATAAACTGTTAGGCCTTCCCTTCTGAACTGTAAGTATCTTGGGTCTTGAGTCCAGATCCACTGAAACAATTGGGGGCTATCTCTAAAGCACTGAAGCAAAATAGTCCAAATTTGCTGTTGGTGAAGTCCTGTTTGGGGATCCTCCCATTCAAATGGGTACAAATATTGGTAGTTAGGATCCACTGGGATAGAAAAGAAAGCATCTTTGAGATTAAGGACATGGAACCAATTAATGTCTCTAGGGATCTCAGCTAAAGGGGTGCATGGGTCTGCTGCTGATGGATGAATAGGTACCACAGCCCCATGGATGGCTCTGAGGTCTTTCACTAGGTGATGTTCTCCTGATGGCTTGACTACTGATAAGATGGGTGGATTGCATGGGCTCTGGTATGGCACCAGTAATCCTGTAGCCAAAAACATCAGTAATGGGCTTTAACCATAGTCTAGGTTCTTTTGTTAATGAAATACTATCTTCTGTGAGGATATAGATTGGGATCCTTTAGCTGAATGACTAAACTGATACCAGTTCACAAATGCCTTTGTTCGCAAACAATTAAGCTCTCAAACAAGCCATTTGACAAAATACTGCTTCTGTTCACAAATGCCACATTGGGTGACAAACACAAGCAGAGCCATCTTCCCTACACAAACACGTCATACACTGGGCAGAAGACTGGAACCTGCTACAGAGGTCTCCAGTAAGGCACTATGTAAATTCAGTCAGGAAATACATGTTACACATCCTTTTATATAGGAGCATAAAGCCACAGTTGTTACAACGAAAACAAAACCGAGTAAAAAGGAGAGCAAACCAGCATCAGAAAGCTAATCCAGAAGGTGACAGCTCTAGGACCCAGGAGAAGCTGAGTCAGCTAGAGCAGGCTCGCCGCTGCTTTGCATGGGCAAAAGCAGCAGAAGCATTCAAAGGAAGAAATCGTACTGTTCCTGTGCAGAAAGTCACTGTACCTGTTAATCCTGGCTGTTTTGTGTTTTGTTTGTTTTGTTTTGTTTTTAGGTATTTAGAACCAGTAACCAAATAAATTGAAAGTTCTGATAGCTGAAAGCCTGAGGGAGGAGGGGATGACTACAGGAGGAGGGAAATACTGAAGCTTGTGGGCAGGATGCACTCACTCCGAACCTACTAATCACAGGGCACCACAAACCCTTGGTGCTAAACAACTAGCTGCCGTGGCCAAGGTAGGTTACCAACCACTCCATGAAGAAAAGCCACAGGTTAGGCACGCCAGGTCCATGCCTCCCGGGCCCCCGTGGTGGGCACCTATGCCGAAACAGTGGCCATTTTCCACTTGGCTCAGTTTACAAGTGGTACCTCAGTTCACAAACATAATGATTCTCACCATGAGTCTGGTCACAAACAGAACTGGATGACAATTGAGCCAAATTCAACGGTTAGGTTCAATATTCATTCGCCTTACAGGGGAATGTGATTTGGTTCTCATACAATTCTGTTTGCAACCAGAATGTGGAGAGAATTAAGTCCATGGACCAATCAAGTTCGTGCCACTGTAGGTCCATCCCTGCAGAAACAGTGTCACAACCTAAAGATGACTTTCCACAGTCGGTAACCTCTCACCCGACCCCTCTAACAAGCATCTCGGGTGCTCATTAAAAAAAAGAGAGAGCGATAAGAGGAAAACGGAGTTACCCTTGTTTTTGGCCGGGTGGTCTGGTTTCCCTTGTCTGCTGAGGTTGCTGAAGGCCTTCAGGCTGCTGCCGATGCCTCCCAAGTCTGGTGAGGATCCTGAGGTCTGGTGATGCTCTCTGTCTGTTATGTCTCCTGGCTGGCTTACCAGCTGTGACAACAGAATGGACCAGGAATAGACCAGGTTCTCGTGTACGGCAAGGAAAGAATCGCCAAGATGACACCCAGTAGTTAAATAGTGAGCAGCTACATTTACCGAAGACCACAGGAAGCTGTGCTCAGGGCTAGTCCATGCCAATGAAAGGTTCAACACAGATCTGGAAAAGCACCAGGGCAACAGCACAAAGGGGGTGGATAAAGGCAGGCTTTCAGAATGAAAGGACCAGACACGTCTGCTGAGACGCCTCCCACTGAGTCTCTAGGTGTGAGCCACAGGAATGACTGACAGGGTGCTGAGTCATCTTAAGGGGTCTCAGCAGGCACACGCATCACAGAATTCCCTGATCTTATCCGTATTTATGAGATGTAATGCATGTTTATGAACTTGTAATGAAACCGGAGTGTGGTAAAGGTGACCAGAAGATGTAGCTAGGAGATCCAAAGTGCATGAGCTCTTCCCTACAGCACGAGCAATCTCCTAAGCTTTTGTTTTATTTTTTAATTTTTGTTTGTTTTTTGAGACAGGGCTCACTATGTAGTTGAGACTGACCTGGAACTCACTATGTGGCCCAGGCTGGTCTCGAACTCACAGTGATCCTCCTGCCCCACCTTCCCAAGTGCTGGGATTACAGGCATGCGCCACCATGCCTGGCTTCCTAAACTTTTGTTATCTTATTTTCCACCTCTCTTGGGACAGTTAAAGCAGGAATAACCATAGGGTACCGCTTAGAATTAAATGGAGGGAAGGGAGTTACTCAGCTCTAGTTTTTGTTTGTTTGTTTTGGATTTTTGAGACAAGGTTTCACTATATAGCGCAGTCTGGTCTTGAACTGGTGGTAATCCTCCTGCCTCTGGCCTGAGTGCTGGGAATACAGGCATGTGCCACCAAACCTGGCTGACCTGAATAGTTTCTAATTGTTTTTTGTTTGGTTTGGTTTGGGTTTTGTTTGGTTTTTTGAGACAGGGTCTCACTATGTAGTTGAGACTGACCTGGAACTCACTATGTATCCCAGGCTGGTCTCGAACTCATAGCGATCCTCCTGCCTCAACCTCCCGAGTGTTGGGATTACAGGTGTGTGCCACCACACCCGGCCTAGGGTTTTTTATTATACTCATTATCAGGGAATTTCTCTTCTACTACTCCCAGTTTGCTGAGATCTTTTACTAAAAAAATGGTATAAACTGGGAGTGGTAGCCTATGCCTGTAATCCCAGCATTCCGGGAAGCTGAGGCAGGAGGATTTCAAGTCCAACAACAGTCTGGGCAATTTAGCAATTTAATGAGATCCTGTCTCAAAATGAAACATAAAAAAGGGCTGGGGATATAAGTCAGAGCAAAGCCCTGTGTTCAATCCTCAATACTACCAAAAAAAAAAAAAAAAAAAAAAGAAAGAAAGAAAAGAAGAGAAAAAAAGCAGCATAAACCAAGCATGGTGATGTACACCTATACCCCCAGCGCTCAGAAAGCTGGAAGATTGCCAGCTTGGGCTACATGGTGAGCTCAGGCCCAGCCTGAACTACATAGTGAGACCCTGTCTCAAAGAAACAGACGATAACAAACAAATAAAAATAAAAATAATTTGAAAACAATGCTGTAGAATCTTATCACTTTATGTTTCTGCCAGAATAGCAGTGTAGTGTCTTTTTATTTATTCTATTAGTGTAATACATTACATCAGTAAGTTTTCAACTCCTATCACACTTTCCCTAAAGTAAATTCAAGGTTGTGATGTAGTCAACTTTTATACATAGTAGAAATTGATTTGATAATATTTTGTTTAGGATTTTTGTATCTATGCTCATCAAACAGATTGGACTGCAATTTACCTTCCACGTGTTACCAGAAGGCGGGTCTGGGGGACTCTTTCCAGGTTCTTGGTGTCCTGAACAAGGAACTGGACCAAACACACAAAAAAGGTAGTGGGATGCACATGTATTGAGGGTGGAAAGAGTTCACTCTGCAGAGCCAGAGCGACGGGGAACAGACCCACAGTGGCAAGGACAGGGAAGGGTCTTTTGTGCCTGGAATTCCTGGATATCCCCTAAACAACCCCATGCAAATAAGGCACTGTGGGAGGTTGTCCTATCAGACGCTTCCTTGGCCTGGCACCAATTTAAACTGACCTATCAAAGACTCGCTTGGTTTCGTCAGATGTGAGTGAAGAACTGAAAACAGCGCCGCCCTGATTGGTTCTGAGCACGGCGCTCCAGAGCCCCAGAGGCACCTGGACCTGTACTGTGCGCATGCGCCCTGGGTCTCCACAACTTGGACCCATTCGGCCCAGTTGTCCGACCAGTTTAATCTCCAGCACTAACCTACCTCAGTTGTCCTATCAAGATTCTGCTCATGTCAGATGAACTGGAAGAAGGTAGGATCGGTGCTGCTCCTTCTGTAGGGGTTTGGAGGAATTCACCCGTGAAGCGTTTCTTTCTCCTTATTTCTCTCTTGCTGTGGCAGTAGTGATTGAATCGGAGTGTTCTTTGGATTTTTATTTTTTTATTTATTTATTTTTTTGATACCGGGGATAGAACTCGGGTCCTTGCACTTGCGAGGCAGGCGGTGGAACCACTGAGCTAAATCCCCGGCCCAAATTGGAGTCTTGTCATTGAGAGACACATCTTCAACCAAGTAAGAACCCTGCTCTGCTCCCCACCCCAGGGTGTTTTTCCCTCTCACTGTACAGGGCGTGCTGACTGCTGGTCTATCTGGGCCAGGGCCCCGATGCGGACTGCTGGGCCTGTGCGTGGGGCCAGGGCCAGCAGCACCTCATCTCCAGCTTTCCCTCCGGAGGCCATCCGTAGGGAAGGCCTAATCCTTCACAATGGCAGTGCCTGCACCCGAGGCTCCCTTCCTAGGCCTCGACGCCCACCCTCTCGTCTCCCTGGTGCCTCTCCCCCATGTCACTGTTCTGTGATCTCAGTAGGTGAGTGTTTTTCTACAGGAGACAGTGATGCTCAGAGAAAAGAATGAAGGAAACAAACACGTGGTGATTGGAGCCAAGCTGACTGCACAAAAGCAGAGCTGGAGGGAGGTGGAGAAGACACTCAGCAGCCTCAGAAGGAGCCACACTGCAGCCCTGTTCACCACACAGCCTGCAGAGCTCATCGTGGTTATCTAGCTAGTGGGAGTCAAGCTCTTCCGTCATGTAACAGACTTTCTTATTCACAAGTACGTGTTCCGTCTGTGGTCCGCTTGTCTGTCCTGGAGGACCGGGATGGTGATATGGGGCAGGGAAGTGGACTCACTGACAAACTGGCCTACGGTTCCCACACTGTTCCAGGGCCAGCTCCCCCCTTGCATTCCTCCAGCCTCAGGGAAGCCAACCCACGGCACCCTCTGTGCAGCCTGGACCTCCTCCATCCATGCCCCTCCAACAGAATGATGTCACAGGGCTGGAGGGGGCCCACATTGCTCCTTCGGACTAGGGCTACACCGCCAGTCAACAAAATGCTTGTTACTTACCAACAGTGAGCTAAGCATAGAAACAGAAAGCAAGCATTTAGAAACTTGTAGCTAATTTGACTCTGAAGCCAGGCATGGTGGCACTTGCCTATAGTCCCAGCACTGGGGAGGCTGAGGCAAGAGGGTCATCAGGCCAGGCTGGAACTACATAGGGAGAACCTGTCACAAAATAAAAACCAAAAAAAGGGCTGGGGACTTAGCTCAGTGGTTCTGCTGCCTGCCTCGCAAATGCAAGTTCCCAAGTTTGATCCCTGGTACCAAAAAACAAAACAAAACCCCAAAAAAATTAACTTTGGAAAAAAAAAAACCCTATAATTATACCCAGCCCTTGTTTGGGGGTGGGGTTTGAGACAGTATGTAGTTCAGATTGACCTTGAACTCACTATGTAGCCGAGGCTGGCCTTAAACTCAGTGACCCTCCTGCCTCAGCCTCCCGAGTGCTGGGATTACAGACCTGTGCCACCACACCCAGCCTGTTTTGTTTTGTTCTTATTTTTGCTTCTTCGTTCTTTTACTCCCTCCCATCTTCTTCACTAGTTTTCTGAGGCTTGGGTAATCTTCCTTTGACCTTCAGCCTTGCTTCTAATCTTTTTCTTCTTTTCTTTCTCAATTTTTTTCCTCTTATCCTGTTGTAGTCCGGGTTTGCAAGAAATTAGATTTAATACAGGACATAGAATTTATAGGATTATTATATAATATTCACCCAACGTCATATGCAGAGGAACACAAGAGATCTGTCTGTGTGCTAGAGACCTAAAGAATCCAGCCAAGGGCCTGGATCCCACAGCGGTGCCCCATGAGTCCAGCCAGAGGCCTAGAGCCCACAGCAATGTTTCCTGCACGTCTGTACTGAGGATCTACATCAGGAAGGCCCGAAGGCCAGCGTTGGAAGCTGGAAAGCCTGTGCTGGCAAGGAGAAGATCTGTGCCATCAGACCGAAGGAATCTGCACTGGAGCCAGGAAGTGAAGCGGAAGGCGAGGACCAGAGCTCCCCTGAGGAGAACAGCAGCCATTCCCAGCAAGAGAAAGGACCTGAGCTTTTCCTATCAGGAAGACCAGGCACTGTCAGCTTCTCCAGAAAAATCAATAGCAACGCTCTTGCCCTCCAGTTCTCCTGTTATGCGGCCGGCAACAATCCTCAGGTGGGTCTTCCACACCCAGAACCAGGCCAACTCAGTTCAGCTGGGCGTTCCAAGTTGACCATTAATTAACTCACTACATAGCCCTTTTTAATTTTCTCCCCTTAAGAGTAAAACTCTACTGAGTGGATATTTACAGAATATAATTTTTTGTTGTTGTTGTTTTGAGACAGGGTCTTCTTGTGTACTTGTTCAAGCTGGGCTTGAACTCACTATGCAGCCCAGGCTGGCCTCAAACTCACAGCAATCCTCCTGCCTCAGCCTCCTGACTGCCAGAATTATAGGCAGGCACCACACACCCTGCTCCTGTATTTAATTGTCTGATTTGCTTTAGGGCTTGTTATATAACAACTATAAACACTAAAGTTGGCAAATTTAATAGTTATAGCAGTTTGTCATTTTTCTAGTCTTTGCTTAATGGTGATGTTATTACTGAGTGCACTGCTGTAGCCAAGGTGACACAGTTGTCGTGATCGACTGATCTGATCATCTTTGTACGCCAATACCTAGATTATCGGGAGGACATAAACATTATCAGTGCAGTAATAAAGAACTGGGTGCCAGGCAAAACAGGCAGCAGCCTTTCATTCCTAATAAATTGGGA